TTCAGCATAGATATGGTAGCTTTTACAACCACTCAAATAGTAGGAGGGCAGTGGAAACAAAATCCAGACAGAAAGCAGTTTCACATGCAAGTTAAGGCAACAGCATACAACATGCTATAGCTGTGCTACACTCCGCAAATATTTTATGGAGATTTCTCTTCCTACTAATCCTGAGATTCCAGCTGACAGAACCAGATGTGACAGGAAGAAAATAGTCTTTCTGTAAGGCTGAAGAGATAATGTGTCTAACAAAGATTCCAAAACAATTGAGATAACAGACAAGTGGTTTTAAAAATACATTTTAGGTGATAAAATGCAAGCAGTAAGTCATAAACGGTAGATCTCAGACAAACAGAAGCCAGCAGCAGGTTGTTTCTAGCAGGATGTTTCTTCTCCCCCTTTTCACACACAGAATTTTATCACACTTGTGAACATATACATAATGTGTATACCTACAAATAGCCACAGGAGTCTAGGCAACAATTTTCTGGCTTATCAGATAAAAGTGGCAGAGAACATCTCTGTTACCAACAGCTCATCTATCCCAATAAGTTTGAAAGATTATAATTTAAAGCTGAAGAACTACACAAGCTGTGTTTTCCTTCATCAATAGAAGAGAGCCATGTACAATAAATCAAAGCTACATCAAAATCCAAGTACTCAAGAAAAATATTAGTACTTTTTCCTAAACCTAAACCTAAATTTTTCATTTAAGTTTTCACTCCTCTGACAACAGAGTACTCTAACATCACATTCCTTATCTGCATTTACACACCCAGTTACAACACCTGTGCAAGCACCGCCTAAATCTTCTCCATTATGTTTCACTCTCAGGAAGACTCTTACAACACCATACTTAAGAAAAGCAATTCCACAGGGCAAAGAAAAGGGAATTACGCTCTTTTGTGGGAAGCGTACAGCTAATGGCCATTTACTTTTTCCCATTTTTCATGATGAAGCTTCAACTTCTTCCTAGAAAGGATCATGACAAATCATAATATACAAGGCTCCCTGGAGTCCTAAGCATTATTCTTCACAGAATCATAGAATGGCCTGGGTTGAAAAGGACCTCAAAGATCATCTAGTTTCAAACCCCCTGCTATGTGCAGGGTTGCCAACCACCAGACCAAGCTGCCCAGAGCCACATCAGCCTAGCCCTGAATGCCTCCAGGGACTGGGCATCCACAACTTAAATTCTTATTCTTAAGCACTAGCTCCATCACTGCTCCTCCATGCTTTTCACAGATTCTGTCACAGAATTCAGATCATCGGCCAAGAAGTATCCAGAAACAGGAATACACTCCATTCTTTGTGTTGTAAGAAAGCAAGTGATGATACTCTATGACAATTCTAAGAGAATCCTGCTTCTCTACTACAAAGTATGTAAAGTGCTGAAAATCAGTTAAAATAACACTGTCTACTACTCTGGAGGCCTTCTAGCACAATATCTTCACCCCTTACAAATCAGTGTTTATCAGTCTTGACTTGTAGTGACAGAAGATTTTCCACTGACCTATCCCACGTCTCCTATTGACAGCTAAGACGCCTGACTTGCCAGTTTTCTGTTGTTCAGCTACCAGGGAGAGCTTTGGCTGCACTACTGCCAACTCTCCCTATGCTCTGGCTTGAACTTCCAAATGCGTACTAAATTTATGCTAATCATTTGCTTCCCAGAAAGTATATTTCTCTAGCCCAGGCTTCACATGCATACAGCATGACAGAAGTGAAGTGCAATACAGATTTTTAAGGTCGATTACTGCCTTCTAATTATAAAGCAGCTATTTTGGTAACAGTCGTTGCTTTTAAATACCATATGAAGAAATACACACAACTTTGCTTACAGAATGTGAACCTCAGCAACTTACTGGTGTGTCAAGTCTACAGTAGTACCTTGGATTTCACACTGGTCTCCTGCTTGGCTCTTGCTGAACCAAGCTCCCCTGCCCACTATATATTTCTGTTCAGGGACGACCAATGGATGTTTCCACAACTGTTGTGACAGCTTTACTGTCAACCCGTGATGAAGAAGAACTGCAAACATACTGTTGTTAAGAGTGGCTCTTCAGGAACAGAATTCACTTTGCTGATTTTTAGTTATTAATTTAGTAATTAGGCAACCTGATCTGGCTGTGGATTCACTACAGGGGAGTTGGACTAGATGGCGTTCAGAAGTCTCTTCCAACTTTAAGGATTCTATGATTCTTTACAAATCTTCTACAAATCTTATGAGGAGTATCTGAGGGCGCTGGAATTATTTAGTCTGGAGAAGAGGAGGCTCAGGGGAGACCTCATTGCACTCTACAACTTCCCGAAGGGAGGTTATGATGAGGAGGGGTTTGGCCTCTTCTCCCAGGCAACAAACAGGACTTGAGGAAACTGGCTACAGGTTGTACCAGAAGAGGTTTTGATGAGACATAAGGAAAAACTTTTTCTCTCAGAGAGTGGTCAGGCACTGGAATGGCTGCCTAGGGAGGTGGTGGAGTTGCTGTCCCTGGCAGTGTTCAAGAGGTGCCTAGATGAGGAGCTATGAGATATGGTTTAGTTTGTGGTAGCAATGGTAACGGTTGGACTGGATGATCTTGCAGGTTGTTTTCAAGCTTGTGATTCTATGATTCTATAAATATTACTGGAGATGCATAAGGATGCAGCCTCCAATCTTCTATCTCTTACATTCCCTCACAGCAGCTCTCTGTCACTTTAAGCTGTCAACTTGTTTTGCATAGCAGATTTAAGTCCTGCTGATCAAGTCGAAGAGAAATTCCAAGTCTGCCAACATCAACTGAAATCATTCCAAGCCTCTCTCATTTATCCCTGCAACATGGATGCCTCTAAATCTAACCACTGCAGTACCCTTTCAGTACTTCAAATCCCCTTGCTAATTACAGCTGATCAAGAGATGAAAGAACACAAAAAAGATGTTCGATAAAAATCTTTACTATCTAGTCAACATCTGTCAGGTGATTAGTATCACAGCAGTCTTAAAAGCCTCTTCAATACTAGAAGAGGGTACAAATACACAAGCACCATAAATAAAGAGTTGGGTAATTTAAGGACTCAGTAGTGCCACCCTGATGAAACAAACACACAATTCCTTGCTTTAAGGAGAAGCATTATGGCTATACAACGCTAAGGACACTTGATGCCACCGACAGGCTTCTCCAGCACCCGCCTGAGCTGTGCAACAACACCGGTGGCTTTCGGGCACCTGACAACGCTAGCGACACGGGGTAGAAGGAACACGGGCCAGGAGCGCTGAGCCCTCCCTCGTGCCGAGGCTCGGCCCTCCGCCCCGCCCGGCCCCTCCGCCCCCCGCTATCCCCGCTGCGAGATACGTACCGATGCGCCTGGGCCCGGGGCACACACACATTCTCCTGTCACAACAAGAAGCCGCCAACATCCACAAAGCAGAAGCCCGGGGGAAGGGGGGAGAAGCAAGGCAGAGAGTTCGTTAGAGAGGACGGACGGACAGACAGACAGACAGCTCCAGCGCTGCGGAGGGGCGCAGAGAGGAGGCACGCACATACGCAGCCGGACTGCGGACACACAGATCCCTCACCCCGCCCGCCGGGCTCCGCTCTCCTTCCGGCGGGGGCGAGACGCCGCTCCCTGCCTGCCCCGCCCCGCCAGCGCTGGGCGTCGCCGCGGCGTAGACCGCTACCCCCCGAGGCGCCGCGCGGGCGCGACATGGCCGCCCCTCCAAGCCCCCCTCCTCCCTGCCGCAACCCTCCGAGGAGCCCCTCCTTCCTCCCGCGCAGACACAGACCTGGCCCCTTCCTGAGATCCTCAGCCCGGGCACCCCGGGAAGCGACCGCAGGAACCGCCCTGCCAGACGAGCACACCCCCCACCACCACCACTACAATGCCGCGGCCGCTGTGCTGCGCGCCGCCTTATAAAGGCCCTGCCGCCCGCGACGCGCGTCCCATTGGCTGCCGCGGAGGGCAAGGAGGTCACGTGACGCGGAGGTTCGGCGGCGGCTGAGGGAGCGCAGAGCGGGGAGGAAGAAGAACGGGGCGTTGCGCGCGCGCAGGGGCGGGAAGGCGCGAATGCGACGGTGGCGCAGCGCCGCCTCCTCCCTCTCTCACCCGCGCGGTGCGTGAGGCGAGGCCACGCCCCGCTGTGAGGGGCGGGCGGCGGCGGGGCGCGGTGTGGGTACGGTAGTTGTGCCGGAGCCGTGTTCTCACCCCGGGAGAGGGCTTTCCGTCTCCCCAAAACGCTCCCCAGCGTTTTGTCATCACCAGCCCAAATCCGGACAAGGGCAGGGGGCCTCAGGCTGGTCCTCTGCCCTATGCTGGGGAGCACCAGGGCTGTGGAGGCTGCTGGGGCGCACGGCCCTGCCCAGAAGGGAGCTGCGGCCCCCTGTGTGTTACATCCAAACCTATCCGCGTTCCACATCTCTGAGTCAGCGTTCACTTTTGCATAAGCTTCACGATGCTTTGAGCAAGCCTTCGTTGTACGCATTTTTCACAGCAGGAGGTTGGGAGCTAGAGTATCTTTAAAGTCTTTTCCAACCCAAGCTATTCCATGATTTCAGAATGCAAAAAGCACATAAATTCAACAAGGTTTAGATTTCTTTTGTCTTCTCTGTTTACAGATGCATGTGCTCTCATGGCTTTTTAATCATCGTGTGGCCAGGATGCCCGCTTTGCTGTGGTGCTGGCAGCAGACATTGACCTGTGGGGTATTGCAACCAGCATTCCATTCATGGCTATAACAAAACCTAGGTCTTTTACCATATTTATGTCTTTACCCAACAACGTTAGGTTGTTTACAGATGTGTGGTGAAATGAGCAGAGAAAACAAAGGAAAATGCCTGTGCTTATTTACCCAGAAGACTCAAAAGGCATATCTGGGATACAGGAAAGTGGGAAGTACTGCCTGGTGACCCCGTGTGTGGAAACCAGCTGGGAAGACACTGTGCCATCCTTCAATATACACCTCTCCCACAGCAGCAGTTGAAAGTACAGAATATTCAAATTATCATTGATTGATGTTCGGAGTGACTTTTTTGATATTTATTTCTCTAGAAATGCACATCGTTTTCTCTTTGTACCACGTTTTGGAATGAAAAGCAAGTTAAGCATATATGACAGGCACCACTGTACATAAAATATTTCACTGTTTGCAATGGAAGATGAGTAATTTTTTAACAGTAGCGCATGGATAGAAATAGATTGGCAGAATACTGTAACAGCCACCATTTACATAATTTTCTACTTGCAGCAAGAGTGACTATGAAGCAGCTGAGATTAGAAATGTTCCTAAAGACTGTGTAAGAAGGTACAATTAAGGCATCTTCTTTCTCCATCAGAAGGTATAAGGCTGTAGGAAGATAGACCCATGCCTGGGTCTGTTTAAGTGATAGCTGTATGAGTAGGCATGCAGAAATGTATTGGGATGAAGTCACAACTGATCGCCTCCTATTCCCAATATGGTTTTTGGAGGGTGGATTCCTGTTTCGTATCTGAAGAAGTCTCTTCCTATAGTTGTCTATGGAGGAAAAAAACTCAAATTAATTAGCATGTGGCAGTCTTGGTCTTCAGAACATCTTGTGACCATTAATTCAGTTCCCCATAACATGCTGTGAAATTGCAAGGCTAGTGTTGTAGCCACCCTGTTTATCTTATCAATCCCCCCCTTGTTTTTTTCTTTTTTTTCCTGCTTTAAGGCCAAAAGAGCTGATACCTGGGTCTGTGGCTCCCTATCTTATACCCTGCTCATAGCACAGATATTAAAAATAAAATAAAATATAATAAAACTTGAATTTTAAAATACTGTGTGAGAATTTGGCTTTAGCCTCAAGTCAATCCCACAAATGAAGGATGAAATAGTAAAACTTGGCTGACATTTTGGTCCTAAACTGATATGAGTGAGCTGGTGTGCCAGGAGCTACGTGTTGCAGGCTGACTGGAAAGTTATGTGGTTTCTTTTTTCCTTCACATTGGTGCTGCTAAAACCTTTTCATGCACTTTGAGCAACTGTCCATTTTGCTGATTTTAAAGAAAATGTGAGTATAAAAGCAGATTGTTCACTGTTTCATATTTACATCAAGTGTTGATAGAAAAGCAATTGCTTGTAGCTACTCCCAAAACTGTGAAATCTCACCCTGAAAGGTTTACCATGTGAGTTTAACAACACACATCATTTCTTGTTTGCTTTGTCTGTGGCCAACAGTGGGTAATTCTGCATTGCAGGATCAATAGAGCTATGTATTTCACTGCAGCTTAAGTGCTGCAGCAGTTACTCTCAAGCTTTCTTCACAAGCTTTCCAGTGAAATCTGCATTACAGGTCATCGGAATGCATTTTGGTTTTAAATACAATGCTTATAATAACTTCCTAGTTTACGTAAGTTTTTGTGCCTAATGAATAAGTATTTTATCAGCTCAGTTTTACTGAAAGCAGGTCCAGGAACAGAGAGTAATTCCTCCATTGATTTTATGTCCCTAGACTTGTTAACATTTTTACAGTATCGCTGCCCGCGGTGTTCCCAAAATGCTGTTTTGCTCCTGAGCCTGGTGAAAAGAGCAGTCACCTATGACAGCTGGCTCAAAGTTGTATGCACAGATCAAACACTCCCAGCTGGCATGCTGCCTTACCAACTGGGAGCATAAAAGAAGAGTCATACAAGTTTTGAATGCCAGAAGAAAAGCCTAATAAGGGGGAAAACAAAGGAGAGAATTATGGCATGCACTGAATAAATGGGAGGAATAAGACAAGGCTGAACTTACCTTGTCACCTTCCCTGAAAGCACTGCAGAAGCAATGACAGTAATGTAAATCTGATCCAGGATTTATTTTTAACAAAAATCACGAGCATTACATGGCAAAAAAGAAGTTTGTAATCAGCACTCAAAGCAGACAGAACACCTGCAAGCAGTGATGGCTTGTGATCTTCATTCAGTCTTGCTTCAAAGAAAGGCTTAGGTTGCACATTCATGTATTCTGCTGCCCTCTTAGGGAGTGTTTGCTGTGTATGGTGCAGTCACCCTACTGCATTCCTCCAACACAGCTGGATTTGGCTTTCTGAAGTTTCTGAAGTTCCAGAGTAAGTGCTGCAGAAGGTGATGTTTTAAAAACATCTCTTAAGAATGTCAACCTGAGAGTCAAGCAGCGGCACTGAGCCACCTTCTGCAGGAGTGTCATAGAGACAGCTCCTCTTTCCCTGCTGTCTTTTTTGATACAAGTGAGGGGAGGCTAATGGGGAATTGCAGAGGGAGTTGCTTCCAGGGGGCATTTTGCTGTCACTGTGGGACCCAAAGATAGTTTGACTTATTTTGTCTCCTTGGAGGCTTTGTATCTTCACTTTTAGTTCCTTTCCAGAATGAAGCTGTGCATCTGGCAGCTTTTTGTTTTTTGAGAACAGCTGGGATCCAGCATCCCAGAGTCAGAGAACAATCTAGATGGGACCTCAGGAGGTCGCACAGCCCCACTCCCCACTCAAAGCCAACTTCACAGCTCAGTGAGGCTGTTTGGGATCGTGGCCTTTCCAGTTTAGCACATCTCTGAGGACAGACTGCAGCCTTCCTGAGCCCCAGGTCTCATGCTTTCCCACTTTTGGTGTGAAGGGTTTTTTTTTCCTTAAACAAAACTTTCCTTGCTCAGAATAGGTCTGCTGACTGTTGCCCTTTCAGGGCTTCTTCTCACTGTCATATTGTACTCCTCAAATCTAATTAGCATGTAATTAAATGCATTTCGTGCATTTGATAGGTGTTGTGCACTAGCTTATGTACTTCCTCTGAGTAGATCTTCCAGGATTTGTTATCCAATTTGAGGAATCCAGCATTCTGGCAACTTGATAAAGAATATACTATGCTAAATTGTTAGTGGAAAAGTCTTTTTGGCAAGCTTCAAGAATGATACTTAAGTTGTCATCACTATCTGTTCTACGTGGAAGAAATCTGTTGGCTCCAAGAATTAGCTTGGCTCTGAAGGGGCAGATCCCTTTTCCAGCTGTTGTTGTGTGCATTTTTACAGATTTGCTACAGCCATTTAAAAAAGCATGAGCATTTACAGTTATGGTGGCTGCTGTGCAGCAGATTCTCCGGGGGAAATAGTGGAGATGAAGTCTGGGAGGGGAGGGGAATCTGCCTGAATTTTGCCAGAAGGAAAATAGCTCACATTTAGCAACAGATGAAACATTTTTTATCTGAGACTGCTAGAACAATGATATCCCAGTTTCATTCTATCATCCCCAGTATTTCTGAAATGAAAGATTTTTCTTTCAGAGACTAAAATTGAAGATGCTTAAGATCACTGCAGTCAAGATACAGTAAGCCAGTGATGGTGGGTAGAAACAGCTGTCTGATTTTAGATCTCACTAGGCAAATATGAACGTTAAAGAGCAGTAACTTCCCCAGCGATGAGAAAAGCAATCTGCTTCAATGACTGCAATCTTCTTGGCGCTAAAGTGTACTTTGGAGTGGGAAGTAGTGTTGGAAATTAAATCAGTTGCTCAGATTTAGAACCAGGAGCAGACTCTGAACTACTCTCTTAGATGTCTTAGGGCCCTGGGTTACACTTCACATTTCCTCGTCTAACAGGGAAGGTTAGAAAGACCGCCAGACAAAAGAGAGCACTTTCACACTTTCCTGCAGTTTATCCTTGCCTAAACACTGGGAATATAACATCCAGCTCTATCCTTTGGAATTTAAAATTTGTATGTGATGCAAAAATAGAAGCATTTGTTCTTTTTTTTCATTAGAGGAAAGATGAGTTAGGTTACTGTTTTCCTTGATAAATAGAGTCACTGTCTCAGTCACAACCCACCTACATAAATATTTACTGATTGTTTTATACCGTATGTTTAGTTTGTATTTGTTTTTAAACAACAAACCAAAGATGTGTTTGTTTCATCCTCTTACCTTCTGCTTGGCTTGTCTGCTTGTCCCTGGACAGTGTGCTGCACAAAAGAGAGAAAATACTTTGCTGTTGGCTGTGGAAAGGATTAGCTTAGGTCAAGCCACAGACAAATATCTGACAATATAGTCTAACTAATAAAAACATTTAAAAAGATCTGAAGTTGTAAGGCTAGATCCAGTAAATTACTCAGTTCTTCCAGGTGAAGTACTGTCAGCAGAAGGTCACAGAGCCCTGGTCACGGTCCTGAGTCAAGGAGTGGCAGATTCTTGTGTGTCAGAGACCAGTCTTCGTTGCTGGAGTAAGGATTACCCTCACCTCAGCTGACCTATGGTCACACAGTCAGAATAGCCTCCTGGAAAAACAGTAAGTCTGGACAGAAGGTAAAAATTATACCAGCGTTTTCCAGTTAAAGGGAACTGGACGAGGGGATTGAGTTCTGAATGAAGGTATTGAGTGCACTCTCAGTAAGTTTGCAGAGGACACCAAATTGTGTTGACCTGCCTAGAAAGGCCAGGAAGGTGGGCTGGATAAATGGGCTGAGGCCAATTGTATGAACTTCAACAAGATCAAGTGCTGGATCCTGCACTTTGGTCACAACAGTCTCATGCAGTACTGCAGGCTTGGGGCAGAGTGGCTGGTAAGCTGTGTGGAGGAAAAGGATCTGGGGGTGTTAATTGACAGCTAGCTGAACATGAGTCAGCAGTGTGCCCAGGTGGCCAGGAAGGCCAGTGGCATCCTGACTTGTATCAAAAATAGTGTGGGCAGCAGCACTGGAGAGGTGATCCTCTCTCTGTACTCAGTGCTGGTGAGGCCGCACCTCGAGTACTGTGTGCAGGTTTGGGCCCCTCACTACAAGAAAGACACTGAGGCACTGGAGCGTGTCAAAAAAAAGGCAATGAAGCTGGCGAGGGACCTGGAACATGGGGAGTGGCTGAGGGAACTGGGATTGTTCAGTCTGCACAAAAGGAGGTTCAGGGAGACCTTATTATTGTTCTTTACAATTGCCTGAAAGGAGGTTGTGGTGAAGTGAGGGTCGACCTCCTCTCTGACCAGTGACAGGATAAGGGATAATGACTTTAAGTTGCACCACGGGAGGTTCAGGTTGGATATCAGGAAAAATTTCTTCTCAGAAAGAGTGGTGAGGCATTGGCACAGGCTGCCCAGGGAAGTGTTGGAGTCACTGTCTGTGGAGACATTCAAGAAACATGTAAATGTAGCACTGAGGGACATGCTTAGTGCGCGTGGTGGTGATGAGACGATGGTTGGGCTAGGTGATCTTAGTCTTTTCCAACCTTCATGATTCTATGATTCTCTAAGTGTTTGCCACTGGGCTGTTCCACAGTAAGTTAGGAACTGGTGGAAGGAGCAAAACCTTGCCATAGAAGAGAACTCTGAACTTCTTTATGCTGTTGAGGAACTGAGAGATCCTGTTGATCTCAGCAGAACAAAGCTATGCTCCTGAGCAAGATTTTAATTGTAAAATAAAGCTGGACTGTGACTATTTCCACCAGGCTTGCTTTCAGAGTGCTGTTCTTGTCCTCAGGAGTTTTTCAGAAGGTCACTTAGGAATCCCAGCTGTTGTTTTGCCACAGACTGGCACTTCTGTGCCACAAGATTCCAGCCCAGTACTGGATTTATTTTGGAACTCCAAATAACCTGACTATTCAGCTGCACAGATCAATGATGCCCTGGTGGCAGCGTTCAGGGAAGCGGTGCAAAATGACAGATTTCCCCATGGATGGACTGTGCCTGTGAGGATGCTCCAGAAAGATCCAGAAGCATCAGAAAGACATTCAGTAAGGCATCTGGTACGGTGTATTTTGGGAGGAAAGATTATTTCTCCTACTAGCTCCAATACAAAGCACCGAGGCTAAAGAACAACCGCAGCAGGCTGTTTCATTCAAACTTCTTTGAGCTTTGGGTGCATCTCTGCAGCCTACAGCTTTGTATGACTGCAGAGATTTGTTCAGTTTGACTGGATGTTATATAATCAGTCTTTTATTTTCTTTTTGCTTGTGATTATGCTATGTAGGCTGCCTTCTTAAATTTCAGCAACCCTAAGGCAGCCTGAGTCATGTGTATGGGCCTCTTTTTTGCACTGTTGTGTAAGTTAGTGAGTTGCAAAGGTCATGGGAATGAGTTATTTAAAAACTGAAACATGCTGGGCTCTATCCAGTTTAGAATAGATGAGCTCAGAAAGGCATTTACGTTTTAAATTACAGCACTGGTTATCAAGGGCTGCTGGACTTGAAGTCAGTGTTACTGCTTCCTTAACAAACTGCACTGTCACAGTATTCCTGTTTCTTTTATATGCATTGCTGTATCATTTTGTATGTATGCATTATGTAAATACACATCAGACAGTGAATAAAAAAATTACTTTCAGTCTTCAGAAAACAAGTTCATTCACAAATATTTCCATCATAGGCAGTATCAGTGCTTATTCATTTTCAGTGCTCACAATAATTACTATCCCTTACTGTTTGTTCTCAACAGCAAACATGAGGTCCACAATCGAGGTGTGTACTTGAGTGTTTCGTGCCACCCAATGGTCAACTTGCTTGCAGTGACCACTGTGTCACTACGCTCATGGGTAATCTGGCTTAGTCATAGCAATGCTGGTAAAAGGCACCAAACCAGAGAACAGAAGTCCTTTGTGCAGGTTTCTGTTCACTCTGTGGTCTGCCTGCTTTATGCCATCCAGCTGTAGCTCATCCATAGGAAGCTCTTCCTTGTATCCTCCTTCATGTTCCCACCCTGGCCCTCCAAGTCACCACCACTGCCAGAGTGCTAACCCCAGTGTCTGGCCATATTTAAAATATGGCCAAAAAATACTTTCAGGCTTGGATTGTTTCACACAGAGCAGCTGAGGGCATGGCTCCACAGATGGCTCAGCAGGCACCAGCAGGGAAGAACATGCACCAGAGCCAAGGGAGCAGGATCTGATACAAAATTAGGCAATAGTAAATCCCGTGCAGATTGGTTCTACAGTGTGCTGTTAGATGGCACAGACAGAAGGTGGTTAAGCCATAAATATGAATCCCAAATATGCATGTAAGAGAAAAAAAAGGGATAAAACAACAACAACAAACCACCATAAAAAATGAAAGGGCAAAGTGAATTCAGGGACATGTCACTAAAAATGACAGAAAAAAGGGAACAGTAGGGCAAAGGGCTTCCTGGAAAGGGCTTGAATGTGAGCACAGGTAGGCTCTTGCTGTTTGCCTGGATGTTTTTTGCAGTGCTCAGAAAAACAAGAACTTTGTACGTGTCTTGTTAAATCGAGGGACTGTGTAAAGTTTGCTGCAGTGTAACCGGTGCCAGAAGCACGACTAGGGGTGATTGCTAGGATCACACAGGACTGGCCATAAAGAGGGGGTGGTGAAAAAGAGACCAGGGGCTACCAAGCCTTAAGAGATGATAACAAAAAACAAACATACGAACAAAAACTGTTGATTTTCCTAAATTCAAGATTTGCTATTGTATGTTTGCACATCTCAGCAGGTAGAATATATAACTGAAAGGTTTATATCTTTCTTGCATGTTGATAATGAAGAAAAACCTTACCCAGGGTCAAAAAGCAATGCCTTGGGTTAATCTAGAAAGCACTGCTTGAACCTGCCATCACTTGGAAATTGGCAACAAACTCACTTTCCTCCAGAGAGCTATAAAACCAAGCAAAAGATATCTGCACAAAGAAAGCCTGTTCTCTTCTCTCCCACTGCTGTTACCCTCTTGAACTATCTCAGGTCGAGCAACTAGAAGACGGCATGTTCTGTAGGCAGATGGCTCCTGGCAGGCACTCAGTACAGCTGTGAATGCGACACTCCGTGCCAAACATGAATCTGTAATTTCTACTACTCCCCAACTGTCATCTTTTTGAGGACACCGTTTAATCATTTCCTGAGAAGACAAAGGGTGCCCATCAGACCTAATGATACTTTACTTGCACGCACATCGATTGTAGGAGGCTGTTATAACGCACCCTTGGAAAATGAGCACTTCTAATTCAAAATGACAGCAATGATACCGCTGTAGGAATGTGCAGTCAGCTCTGAGATCCCACACCCTTTGTCAAACAGGGAGGAGTTTTCTTCTGACTTAATTTCCTCAGCCATCTAAGTGGGAGAGCGTTTCTCTCCTCAGGAGAAATGAGAAGCGTGTTAGTTTTCATTAACTCTTAATTTGAAGCCCGTGCAACTGAATGAAGCCACTGTGGCCATCTGGAAATGGTATCTGAATGCCCTGTTGAATCAGAGATAAATCCTTCTCTCTGAAAAGCACATATGAAAAAGGTGCTTTGTGCAGAGACACAGCGCTGGCAAAGAGCCTTCCCTGACTTGAGCAGCAGCAACGGCTCTAGGAAGTCATTTCAGGCTGCTGCGACATTCCCAGGGCCGTAGGAAAGGTCAGTGCGCTGCGTCCTTCAGCCACGCGGGGCTTTGATTAGCAAATCCTCGTTGTCGACAACTCTGAACCGCTTCCAGCCTGCGATTTATTCGGGCTGCCATGTGCCCACAGTGTGGGCTCCCCGTGCCCAGCCTGTGCTTGCAGGCACGGGGCTTGCCACAAAGCAAGGCTCACACCCAAACATTCCGATCGTGTCAGGAAAGAAAAGTTTTCAAATGTTTTGCTTCCTCCAAAAGAAAAAAATAGATAAAGAGGGCTGGGTTTAAATGCTTAAGGATGACCTGTGAAAACAGCCTTACCTCCTGGTCTCAAATGCTGCATGACCCCGCATGCTTGTAACCAGCAGTGCCAACCCACCTGTGAGCAGTGATGTTGTACATGAAGTGAGGAAAACTCAACTAAGGGATAAGGGACTGTAGTATCTTCCAACTCTGCAGGGCCTTTCCTTAAGACCGTTCCTTAAGGCCACAGCACCAGACCCTCATGTTTGCAGGGTCTGAGCATGCCTGCAGCAATCACAGTGCTGTCAGGAGCCTTTGGACCTCTTCCTCAGGTTTTGTGACCATGTCTAAGGCTGTTTGGCCTTCCTGCCAAGGCCAATTCATCAGATGAGGTGCTGGGAAGCCGTGACTCTGGCCCCACAAGGGCACTGCTGTTACACTGTGGAGAATAACAGTGATAAGAGCCCTGCCACCCATCCCTGAGGAGTAGAAATCCTTCTTTCTTGCATCCAAGCACCGCTAGTCAATCCTGTGGGGCTAACTGGTTAAGGAGACTGTCACTCTGCTGCTGTTCCACGCCATGCTTTGGTATAGTGAACATCAAAGCATCCGCAGTGTTCTTTCTCTTC